CCAAAAATGGCTGCTGAAGCTCCTAAAGCATCCTTCTGCTCTTGAGACCATAAGCATAAAAACAACTGAGACATGATGGTCTTAACTCCAAAAAACTAGAGACTGCTATAGAAGTGAATATGGATTTGAATTTTATCTCTGCTCTGAATTAAGGTAATGACTTTGCTCGTGATGTGAAGTGGAAAGGAAATTCTTTATTTCTTCAGGCAATTCATAACATAGCTTCCTGTTTTTGGTCAGAAATTTGGCATAGCTTTTTGCACCCCATCATAATAATTTATTATGATATTATCATTATTTCAGAAGATCCATGAAATGTCATTTTTGTCAAATTCCAATATGAATAGATATGCATCCAACACTAAACTGAATAACTACAGTTTGTAATGTGACTACATAAATTTTCTCAGCAAAATATTTTCTTTCAGAATTAGTTCTGCCATCCACTGACTAAACAGATTATGTATGTCATTCTTCTGTCCCTCTTAGCCAGAGCCAGCCTACTGCAATCACATCTGTTTAGAAGCTGTGTGAGAGGCTTTATCCAGAAGAGGGAAAGTATTGCAAATAATGCAAATAAACATGCAGCAACAGAATGTAGCACTCATTTGTAAGGTTCAGTAAATAACAGGAATTTATACCAAATAAACACAAGTGCTTTTTTATGATGAAGTGCCCCACATGTTAGGAAAAGCAACCAGAAAACATGCAAAACTCTCTATCCATTTGGAAGAATGGAACCCAACTTAGAAAAAAGCAATGTGGGTGACATAGGAGGAATCCAAGAGCAAAGATCCCTTTAATTTAATGAATCTCAAACTGACACCTACATGCATAACAAATTCATTTGAAACAATTCCTGGTCTCCTAGGGAAATGACAAGGAGATGGAATGGGCATCAGCTGCCTACTCCAGGTTCTAGATCCCTTGAGGTCATTCTACTAATTTCATATTGCAAAATATTGCCTATTGCCTAACTGCCATTTGTCGGAGGGAACTGGAATTACGACCCATTTAATTTTCCAGTGCAAGAAGAAGCAAACACAGCACTGACTTGTGTCTATTTGTAGTGTCTCACATGGAAGAGTTAAATCGGGTATAAATGGCCCTTTCCTCCACAGCAGTCAGCTTTTAAGCAGGTTCAAATACACTGTGAACAAATTAAAAACTGCAGTGGGAAGTGAAAGCTTTCAATGAGTGCTACTATGGTTTTGCCTTCCCTCTGATACACAAGGGGAACACAGCCTGGAAATAACACTTGCCACGGTCTTCAAAAAGAAGGAATCACACAGTCACAGAAATTTTGGCAACCACTCTTTACAGGTATGCTTTCTTCCTGTCCAATACTAACAATTCCAGTGACTCCAAAGGGATATTGTGAGAGTTTGTAGCCTGCCTTTCTTGTAAGGTCTTTTTTATCAGACCACCCAAACATCATATGTCCCCAGCAGATACTGCTCCAAAGCAGCACTAGCACATCAGTTTCAGCCAGGTGGTGCTTCAGATGCTGAAATAACACACTCCCTAAGGATTAACAAAGAGGTATTTCTACCTGAGGCAAATGACAATGATCATGACTGTCAATCAAGGTCAACCTTCTATCACTTGATCCTTTTTTTTTTTAGGAAATATACAGGGTATAATTTTTACCTATTTGGAGTAGCAACATTGTCCAAATCTGCTTGCAGCCAGTATACAGAAGTACATCCTGACATTGCCATTAGGCACGGGAAGATGGTATTATTGCTAAAATTATTCTTCTGACACCAGTTGTAGGGCTCCCTGGTATTTCTCTGTGAGTTCTGCCATGCTACAAAGCAGATTGATCTATTTAGAAAATCCTTGTAAGTCAATGACACAGAGTCAGACAGCAAACCTGGGCTGATTCACCAGCATCACCTAACATCCAAGGATATCAGAATCATGTTTTTCACAATAAGAAAGTGTTCAAACGGGACTGATCAAAACATTCTACACCCCAGTAATTCTGCTGAGTGTACTCAGAATGAAAACTACTAAGAACATCCCTTTTTTCAACTGAACTTTAACCAGCTATAAAAACAACAAAAAGGCTTTATTAGTTTTGCTTATGTCTTCTCAATGTTTCAACCCCGCATTTTTCAAACTCCTTACCTGATTGCTACTCAAGGGTGAAATAATCTCTGGTAGTTTTGCTTTGATATTTATCAAGACTGAGGTTCATGCTTTACATGTGGAAAATTCTCAAAAAGGCCAGAATAACCTTAGAGGTCACCTATTGCATAGTAAGCAGTGTCAGGTGCAATATTTATTAATGGAAAACACACTGTCTTCATGCACTGAAGTGCAAATATGTGCTCCTCTGCATTCTCACTCTAACTGAGCTATGTCTGCTACTCTTGAGGTCTCTATAGATTCCATCTATGCCACCAAACAGGAGCATGTTTATATCTGACCACAGTAAGATTGTGCTAGTTATGCTTTATCTTTGGCCATCAACAGACAAATTATGAAAACACTGAAGAAGTATCTTTAACTACTGTATCACTCATTAGGATGATTTTAACACATTTAGCTCTGACTTCAGAAGCATTATTTTTTCCATGCAAGATAAATTCAACAATTACAGAAAGTCATTTATTGTATCCTGTGACTTACAACAGGCTTGAGTCTTTGTATCTCAAAACAGGGAAATCCACTACTGTTCTGATTATATTTGTTTGCTCAGCAATGTATAAATACCCACAGATGTGTAGGCATTGCATGGCTGTCAATACCCATCTCATATATTGTCCATATATAAATCTTTTATGTGGTTTGTGTATCATGGACACTGAATGCAATAAATTAATTGTCAATGCCTAACACTTATTGCATTGATTAAATGCATACAATTTTCTCCCCGCTCTGGCTTAGGAATGACTGCAAGCACAACACAGGGTCCTTTGGGAGAATTCCTGAACTGAGTGAGCATTTTGTGTCCACTTTCAAAGTTTTCTCTCCAAACAGCTATAGAAGATTATCATATCATCTGTTCTTGTTGCCTCTACCACAGCAACATGGTCCATAATGGAATCATTTGTTGTAATATATCCCTTTAGATGTGTTGTACTTGTGACCCATTTGTTTAATACCACATGGTCTGCATTACAAGAAATGCATGCTAGCTCTTCCCCATCAACCTTGCCCATCATTCTGTACTATCCAAGGCTTGTCATCTGCTTTTTCAGAGATTTAGATCATTTATGAATGTGTTGAGAAATGAAAGTCCTATCTGGTCCCTTTCTCTACTGTAACAATAGTTAAGAATCACAACAGTTTTCCCTTCTAAATACTAGCATTAGTCACATATATTTCAAATAATACTTAAATAATTTTATTTAAATATAAATATGCCAGAACTCCTTCTAAATCTTGCAAAAAAAAAAAAAAAAGGAAAAAAAAAAGGAAAAAGAAACTGCACTGAAAATATTAATTTTATATTATTTACATGAACCTAAAAAAATATCTGTGAGATCTAAAAAGCATGGAAATACCACTCAAAAGACCACAGGTCCATACATCCTATTTCAAGAGTCAGGAAATTAACATCTACAGCTAAGATTGTGCTTACCTATAGTCCTGATGAGTGATGAAATCAAACACTTCCTCTCCTGAAGTAAAGGAGTAAACCCCCTGTGGCCTTTAGACCAGATCTCTGATCACATTTCAAAGAATGCTGTCACTTGTTACTCTTTCTTCCTGAAATTGTTTTCTAGGACTTTCTTCTGGCTGATATGTCAGGAACACTTGCTATAATGGGGAAAAAAATGTTAGTACAAGTATTAAAAATAAGTAAAATGTGACAACTCAAAAAATACAAAACACACATTGTCCAAACAGTCTACATCTGAGGAAGAAGTGGTACAAGTTACTGCTGTCAGATGATTATTTAGTATTATCATTTTATTGCCTCCTTATCACATTTTGTTAGGTCATTAACTCAGAAGATTCTCCCCACATTCTCAAAGACCGCAGTGCATAGACATACAGCTGTGTGTCCTGTTTCGAAAGGCACAGCCTTGGTATTAAATCTCCCTTCTTGTTGACTAGGCTTGAAAGCGGACAAAGATCAAACATCAGAGAACATCTTCTCTTGAGAACATTTTTCCAAACTCCGCGTTTTGCAGCTGAGAAGAGATCCCGGGCCCCGCCGCGGAGCCGCGCTCCCTGCGGGCCGGGATGCGGCGGGCCGGGCCCGGGCGCGGCGCTAATTATATATATATATATATATATATATATATATAGTTCGTTTTGACAGCCTTTTTCCTCTCCTGAAGACAGCACTCACACTTAGTATTAGAGAAAATAATGATAAAATATGCTACAAGGATCATGTAGTCCAACTTTTGGCCCCACACAGGATACTCCAAGAATCCCACCACATGCCTGGTGGGAGTGGGAGTGCTGTCCAAATGCTGCTTGAACTCTGCCAGGCTTCGGTACTGTGATCATTTCCCTGGGGAGCCTGTTCCACTGCTCAGACACCTTCTAGGGGAAAAGCCTTTTTCTGATATCCAACCTAAACCTCCCCCATCTCAGCTTCATACAGGGAGTTCTGTCTCTTCCCTCACGGTGGGCACAGGGAAGAGATCAGTGTCTGAAGCTCCACTTCTCCTCCTGAGGCAGCTGTAGAATGCCATGAGGTCTCCCCCCACTCTCCTCCAGGCTGAACAGACTGCGTGGCCTCAGCCACTCCTGCTGTGCCTTCCCCTCTGGACGCTCCACTATCTTTGCAGCCCTCCTTTGGACACTTTCTAATAGCTTTGTATTTTTTTTACATTGTGGCACCCAAAACTGCACACAGGACGGGGTGAGGCCGCACCAGCACCAAGAGCAAGAGTGTCTGTTCAGTGCTACTGTTAATGTGATTTTTTTTTTTTTCTCCCTCTCCCCTCTAAAGGAAGGTTTTCTCCTTGGAGATGTGAAAGGCGGGCGCGGCGCTGCCGCCGGCGGCCGCTGGGGGCTCCCGCCCGCCCGCGGCCCGTCCCGCCATTACTGGCATGGAGGGCGAGAGCACCTCGGCCCTGCTCTCGGGCTTCGTGTTCGGCGCCCTCGCCTTCCAGCACCTCAGCACCGACTCGGACACGGTGGGTGCCGGGAGAGGGCCGTTCCTGGTCGGTGGGAGGGGAGGGAGGGGCGGGCCGCCTCCGCCGCGGCCGCGCTGCCGCTGGGCCTCCCCCGCCCGGCCGTCTTTTTGTGTGCGAGCGGCGGAAAAACGTGGGTGTTCCGTGTCCGAACGGGGCGAGTGGTGGCTGCAGCGCCACGTCCGCCCCGGGCCGAGCGCAGCGCCGCCCGGGCCCAGCCTCGGCGGGCAGCACGGCACGGCCGCTGACTGCTCGGGCTCAATGAACACGGGAGCCACCGCAAACCGACCAAGACACAGCACTGCCTCGCTGAGGATTTCTTCCTAACTGCGGGCTAGTATTGAAAAATGAGTGAGAACCCCTTTGTATTTTTTTTACATTGTGGCACCCAAAACTGCACACAGGACGGGGTGAGGCCGCACCAGCACCAAGAGCAAGAGTGTCTGTTCAGTGCTACTGTTAATGTGATTTTTTTTTTTTTCTCCCTCTCCCCTCTAAAGGAAGGTTTTCTCCTTGGAGATGTGAAAGGTGAAGCCAAGAACAGCATTACAGATTCACAAATGGATGATGTTGAAGTTGTTTATACAATCGGTTAGTGTGTCCACATTTTTCATAGCCTGCTTGGTTTTGGGCAGTAAATGACAGCTTTCAGTTTTCAGGGACAGCAGTCTACGTCATCAAGATCAAAGCTCCAAGATCCTACATGCTTTGCTGATAAAAAAAAAAACCCAAACAACCGAAAACATATGGAAGGGTTATTTTGTAACTGTGTTTAACTGCTAAAAAGATTACAATTTTACTGCAGAAAACACAGTAATTTAAAAGAAATAACAGTTTCTGTTTCCTTGGATGCCTACTCTCTGTCAAATATCATGTTACATTAAACATAACCTAGAGTTTAGACCCTTGTCTTGGCTACATCACAAACTCTCCTGGACTACAGTTGCCCTGGAAAAGCTTTGTCTATCAGTGATGTGAACTGTAATGTATTAGCATCTATTACCTCATTTGGAGCTTATAAAATTATGTGTGTGAAGGCTGCAAGCTCTTTAATAATTTCACTAAGCAGATGCCAGATGTATTTTTTATCATCTTGATGTGATTGGAGTGGATGTGCCTTGAATAATTCACGAACAGCAGTCCCTGAGTTTTCAAGTAAAATCCTTCATACTACATATTTCTCCTTCACTCAGCAGAAAGGAGAAAATATAAAGTACCCAGCTTGAGTTTTCAGTTGACATAGTAGAAAAGTATACAAAAATAGTTTATATAAGTGGTTCTCTTTACATTTGACAAAATTAATTAGAACATATTTTAAAAATATTTCCTTTCTTCACCTTATTTAATTTTATGCTAATGCATTCAATTTCAGGAAATTATATAAAATTATTTCTTGGTCTTTCCATCAGTTTCATGCTGATCATAGCATACAGCAGAATATACATCTTCCGCTGATGAACCCAGAGTAATGTTACTTTCTCTTTCCAGACATACAGAAGCATATTCCATGCTACCAGTTGTTCAGGTAAGAATCTCAAGGAAACAGATATTGAAAAGTTAAAATTAACACTAACCTGAACTCTTCAAGTGTTAAACTTACATTGCCTAAGAAAATCACCCAGCTGTAACTGTAGCAGCTGTATCAACTTCTTGGAATTACAGATGCCAAATGCCTTATGCTATTCCTATTTTGTTCTTTATGTCTTTTTTTTTTTTCTTTTTTTTTTTAATGTTTGTCTATACATAAAGAGACAGAGATAAGGCATACTTCACCTTCTGGTGACCTATGATACCATATAAACTACAGAACAATGTCAACACACTGAAAAAAAGCATTCCATACATTCTAACCCCTCACCCTTAATAGTATTAATTTAATTTTTTTTAAAAAGCAAGATGATTCTCAGCATGCTAGAGTTATTTTTGCAGTTTAATTTTTCCCCCTCTAATTGTCCTAATTTTCTTATAGCTTTTATAATTCTGCAGGAGAACTGAATGAACTTGCCCTGAAGAAAATACTATCAGGCTGTAAGAAGGTATTTTATTATTAAATCTAAACCATACTGAGGAGCCCACTCAAATTTTGGAGGCTTTTCTGGCTGTTCTCTTGCATCAAGGTTTTTTCTTTTCTCATTTTAAACCTTTTATAGTCCCTCATGCTGCTGGTCAAGGCAATTACATCCTTTTCCTCCACAAAAAAAAACAGTTTAGCTTATCTTTTACTAGGATTTGCCTACGTATGTGTCACAACTTTATTTTGAATTATTAATTTCTCAAGTGAACACTTCAAGGATCCCAAAGGAATTGCACCGATTTCCTCCTTAAGATCAGTGAGGTCAGCTCACAAGTGGTTAAGGACCACTACATCAAAAAAACCTACACTTTTTTCCACAGACAAAGTTTTACAAGGGGAAAGTAAAAGCTGGAAAGAAACAACAAAACAGAAAAAAAGCTTGCAGTTTGAGCTTGAACACAGGCTAAGAAACAAACCAATTCAACACATGGTTTTGAAGTAAAGAAGATGGGAATTAGGCTTAGAAGTTTTAAAGGTTTTAAGTTAACTAACTGCTTGACTATGCACCTACTAGCAAACAATTCAGACATGACTTTGCACTGGAGGAAACTTGCTTCAGTGACACACAGGGACATCATGATTCAACAGTAACTGTGAATTTTCTTCTGCCTGCAGAGTGTAATAGGATGGTACAAATTCAGACGTAACACAGACCAGACCATGACATTCCGGGAAACAGTTCTTCATAAAAACCTGCAGTCACACCTATCAAATCAGGGGCTTGTATTCCTCCTTTTAACCTCTAGTGTGATGACAGAAAGCTGTTCTACTTACAGATTGGAACATGCTCTACACCGGCCTCAGGAAGGGTAATGTCTACAGTATGTGCTAAAACTTGAAAGTTTCTCTACTTTGTTGCAACTGAATCAGTAACACTGTGTATTTTACCTTTGAAACTTAAACTTTTAATAAGATTATTCCTTATGTTGCCACAGCCCAGTTGAAGGCTTACCCTGTGGGATTGCCCTTTTTATCTATAGTGCCAGCATCACCAAGCAGATGCTGTCAGTTTATTTACACACATAAGCTACACCTGATCAAATTGTTTTGTGTACAGGACCTCAACCCTACATGGTGTTCATCAAAATATTTAAATTGGTGTCAACTTTATCTTCAGAGAAATTCTGCTTGCAGGCTAGGCTTAGCAAGCAAATGTTGCATTAATGTGTGTTGTAGTCAGAAAGGGGAAATTATGGGCATTGCTCAGCTTCTGGTTGCTCTTGGAGTTTGCGTTTAGCCTCATCTGTACATGATGTAATACATTTAGCAAAGATTAACCATACTGTAACCCTCTCATCGGATCCTGAATGACCAAAAACATTTAACTTTCATTGAAACATCTGTGGATATTAATAGATCATGTTTTCATACTTATGCATTTTAAGACTTTTCCAGAAAGTCCCTTTGGTGGTTACCAACTTGGGCATGGCAGAACAGCAAGGTTACAGAACAGTGTCCGGTTCCTGTGTATCTTCTGGTTTTGTGAGAGCCATGAGACAACACAGGTACAATACATGTTGTATGTACTGGCAGCTGTAGCTTCCCACTACCATAACTACACTTACTTTTCTATAAAAGCATTTAAGTGCTTTTGGAAATGTTACAGCTATACCTTGTTTCACTTGTTGACCTGTTTTCTACAATTACTTACCATTCCAGCATACAAGGAAATTAATTCAGTCCCATATTTTGCCAGGAGCTGTCTGTCTCAGCACAGGCATCTGGCATTGAAGCTCAAAATGCTTTACTCACTAAATCTCCTACTAAGTAAGCACTGGGGTCACTAGCTTGCAATTATGCTATTCTACTCCTGGTGACAGGACAGAATTCTTCCATGAAGATGGGTCCCTACAAGAGGTTCATAAGATAAATGAGATGTACGCCACCTTGCAGGAAGAACTGAAGGTAAGCCAGGCAGGCCTGCCTACCTTCATCAGTTCTACAAAACCAAGGCAGCCAAGGGCTACAACATTTTGCACTGCACGAGAAAAAAAAGCCATGTCCGAAACATAGACAAACTGAAAGGTCAGCAAATTCTATTTACTGTGCTGCACACTACATTCTCAAAGCTCTGGATTTAAGTTCCCATTTGATTAAAGTACAATGTTTAATCTTCAAGTCCATGAATAAATTCTCACAAGAGGATTATTTTGAAGGAGTAGTATCTGTAGTTTGTTAGATCTCCTTTGCCTAGATGGGATCAAATAAAACATCTTGCACCTTGCTCAACACAAAGTTTAAGTTATCTGACAAATCCACCCCCAAATTATTACTTAAGCTTTTTACTACTCTGTGTCCACCTTAACCATGAGTAACTTCAAGGATTTTTCAACAATTTTAAAGTCAGCTACTGTGAATACTGTTAGTCTGATCAACATGCTCTTCTTGCAGAAAATATGCATTACAGTAGACGTCAGTGAACGATCTGTGGAGAAACTCTTAGCAGAGGTGAGCCAATTAAAAGAAGAAATAAAGAGGAAAAAGCAACAAAACTGTCCAGGTAAATTAACCAAATGTGATGCAAGCCTTGCCCTTCCAAAGTTGACTCAAGTGGCAGAAGCAGAAAACACTTCTGAACCTGAGGTAGCCAAAACAGCAGTGGTGCAAGAGGTTCTGCAACTCTGACTTTGATTTTTTTTTTCCCCAGGAGAAGATAAAAACCACCCAGCAGAGCCAAAGGAGAATGTTCTCCTTTGCCAGGCACTACAAACATTTTTCCCCAATTCCAGACTTCAGACATGCATTGTTTCCCTCAAAGGCCAACAGATATCCAAGAACTGCTGTAACACAGACCATCATATTAATGTCATGGACAAACTGACTCTCATGGTAGAGGAAAGAGACTTCACTGAAGGTGAAACAAGGCATCTAAACAAGCGTAAGGTCAGGGGGACCACAGCAGTTTCAAAGTCATTCAAGAAGTCCAGATCATTGCAGCTTCACCAAGAACCACCTCAAAACCAAGAGGACAGTGACCAGGAAAGGAAGCTTACACTGAGTAGCACTGAAACAGATGAGGATGTGTTTGAAAAAAGCAGAGATGCAAAGGAATACCCACATTCTCCTACTTTCTGATCTGTCAGATGACTTCACACCAAAAGTTACTGTTGGTGTATTCCAGTGATGTATCAATCTCTAGCACTGCAAGGATGTATGGAACAGGGCATTTTTGCAGGTTGGATTTTTTTTTTTTTTTCAGTGCACGAATCCTGTTCAGCATAAAGATAAATCCAAGATGACATTCTCTCACTTTGCCTTCCAGAGTTGCATCTGTCTTCTCTCTCTCAGGGTTCAAAGCCTATGCTACAGGATGCTATCAGTCAGATAAGCATGTCACATACTGCCTCAAAGTGAGACAGCTTCAAGCTGCTGGTGAAGAAACAGTGCTACCCTCCTGACACAGGGAGCACCAAATGAACACATTACAGAATTAGCTGTCTACGTGAACTGCCACAGTTTAAATATATTAATTTATCCTCAGGAAACCAGTGCTTGTTTACCTCACCACATCTTACAACCCAGCAAGGAGAAAAACAGCCACCTGAGCTTTAGCAAGACCAGTGAGCAGAGGAAGGGGTCCATATAGCTGCCAGTTTATTTTATTGCTTTAATCTTCCTTCAGACAATAACTTCCAGAGACTTTATGAAGAAAAATTAAATAAGGACTGACAACCACCCCTCAGTCAACCACACATTATGCTAGCAAACCACATTTCCAGCAAACAAGTATATAAACATGAATAACAGTTTTATTGTTTATTTCTGTACAGTATATCACTCTGGATACTTGATGTTACATAGCTTGGGGTCTGTGAGAAATTGTGGGTTCTTAAACATAACTGGCATAAATCCTGTTAAAGAAAAATGGAGGTGTTCTTAATAGAAATGTAGCCTTGAGTTAGAAAATTCAAAAGCAGAATCATACTTACCAAATACATGAGCTCTTTTAATGGCTTTTGTAATTTCCTTCTGCTTCTTGTTGCACAAGCCTAAAGAGATGAATTATCTTCAACACCGAGCAAGTCATGAGAGCATGAAAAGCAGGTTACTGACAATTCCCCCAGCTTTGATTAAGTCTTTCTAGAAAAATGCATTGTGCTTTTACTGTTAAATACAAAATGCATACAATTAAGGGATATTTTAATTCCTTGACACATGCTACTAAGTCAGGGGAATACTATTACAAAATGTATGGAGTTGGGACTGGTTACTTTCAGAAAGACTGATGAGGCACAGTTATTTAGACTCACAAATATATTATTATTAACCCGTATATGATTTAATTTAATACTTCACATACCTGTGATATGCCTGCCATAAATGGAGCCAGTATATGGAGAAACAAACTGGGAAAGAAGCTACTTGAAATTAAGAAAAATCAAAGTCAGTTTAAGAACTTTTTTTTGGAGCTTTATGTTACTATTTGTACTCTTTTTCATCTGTTTTTCAAAACTCAGTTCTACCTGGAGAAAAAAGTACAGCTTGGAGCTAGACAGTATTTTCTATGCTTCCATGCTTTGTAGCAGCTGAATTGTAACCAAAAACTCTATTTGTTACATAGCAAAGTTGTCACACATAGTTAGTAGATTGAGCATGACTACATTATTTGCCCTTTGACCTACACACATTCTTACTCATAAGTTTTAAACCCCTACACATATGAATGGATTTTTAAAATTGTTTTTTGGGTTTTTTTTAATCCTACTACAAACACATTTAAAAACAGTAAACCAGTTCCCTTCATCCAAGGACAGCAATTTTAAAACTCACCTGCACATTCTTATAGTCCACATTTATTCCACATAAGACACATCTCTTTGGAGGGTCTTTGTAGGGGTTCTCCATTTGTATGGGCTGAAATCAGAGAATTACTAACATCTGTAAGCTTCACAAGATAATAGAGAACATTTGTTACTTTTAATCCTTTAATCAACATTTGTCTTGAAAACAGAAAAGATATTTAGTGCACCACTGAACTTTTCAGTAACTTTATTAACTCACTTCTTGGTACCTTGCAACTTCAAAGACTTCTCACAAGTAAACAGCCTTTTATATTTTAGCAACAATGACACTAGCAACTCTATTAAATCATTCAGGAAGATAGTGCTTACACCTCTACTTGAAGTCAAAATCTGCAGGAGCTGGTAAAAATGTAGTTCTGTCTGACAAGTCACAAGAATCTTTCTTTAAAAAATAATTTCAAAGCAAATGGCCTGAGGAAGCTTCTGTCTGCTCACACAATTTTAAAGACAGAGATTCAGAAATACCTCCCAAGGAGCCTCCTTGGGAGGTATTTCTGAATAGCCTCCTTAAGCTTCAGAATACACCCAGCGCCAAATTCTTACAAGATATGAAAGGTGATTTTTCACTTTGCACAGAGTCACAGAACAGTCAGTGTTGGAAGGGACCTGTGGAAATCATCCAGTCCAACCCCCTGCCAAGGCAGGGTCACCCGGAGCAGGTGACACAGGAACATGTCCAGGTGGGGTTGGAACGTCTCCAGAGAGTGACAAACCTCCGTGGGCAATATGCTCCAGGGCTCTGCCGCCCTCAGTGTAGAGAAGTTTTTCCTCATGATGAGGTGAAACTTCTTTCGTTTTTAGTTTACAGCCACTGGTCCTTGTCCTGTCTTTAGCTCCACGTCCGTGCTACTGAGGTACCAGGTTTAACAGGCTCTAGTTAAGATATTGAAATACAGATCTCTGGGGCCTTAACTTCCAGCGCCTGATGACCTCCTCTGCGCTGCGCTCCCCGCCATGCATTCGGGGTCTGATGAGCTACACAGCGACCAGCGCAAAGCGTTTCCAGCCACCGCTGGTGTCTTGCGGAGGGGGAGCGGCGGGACAGCAGGGCGGGACGGGTCGGGGAGGCCTCACCTGGTCCGAGCGCCCAGGCTGCCGCTCAGGCTGCCCTTCATGCTGCAGGCGGCACGGCCGCGTCCACAGTTTCGCTGCAATGGAGAGAGCGACAAGGTTAGCGCCGGCGCAGAGCGACAGCCCACACACACGAGCGCCGCCGCGGCCGCTTGAGACAGAGAGGGAGCGGCAGGGACGCACCGAGAGCCAGGCGCGGCCAGCGCCCGTGCGCCGCCATGGCCCGCGCCACCATGACACCCGTACCGCGCGCCGCCACTTCCGCCCGCGCGTCACTGCCACCACCCCTGCCGGCCAATAGCAGTGCGGCCTTCCCGGTTCGGGACAGACGATTGGCAGCTGTCCGGCCACGTGCTTCTCCCGGCGTGTTGTTACCGGAAGTTCCCGCCCCCGCCATGGTCGCTGCGCCTGCGTTGGGCGGCTCCGGCCCGTGTGTCGCCCCGGCTGTGACGGCCTCGTGCAACCCCGGCCATGGCGGAGCCTAGGCTTGCCGTGCGGAGGAAGAGCCACTCCAGCTCGGAGCGCAAGCGGAGCCGGGCTCCAGCGCAGCCCGTCGCCGCCAGCTCGCCGGTGGCTCGCAAGAGACCGAGCTCTGGTGGCGAGGGGCCCCCGGCGGAGGCCCCGGTAGGGGATGGTGGGATCCTGGGGCTGCTGGCGAGGCGGGGGAGCTCCGTCTGCGAGGATGGTGTGTGTCGGGGAGGGCCGTACTTTGTATGAGAGGGTATGAAGCCGTTTGGCATAAACCCGTTTGCTTTAATTTTAAAAAAAAAAAAAAAAAAAAAAAAAAATCTGTGCACGTATCTTCCTACTTGTAGGTTATCTGTTTCACTTAGTCAAGGCATTTCTTCAGAACCTAAGCTGGGTTTTCCTCACAGACGACATCACGCAAAATGCTTTTGTGTTAAGTTGGGGCAGACTTCGGTGACTTGGCTCTGATGTTTGTGCTCTGCGAGTTATTCTGCCTTCTGTGGTTTGCCTCAGGGTGTCAATAACTCCTGTTTCGTTTTTGCAGTGCAGTAACGATAGCGAGGAGGATATGTTTGGTGACTATGACAGCTTTTATGGAAACGATTCATTGATTGCCCAGGTGGATGATATTGAACACAAATACCTGCAGGATAAAAATATGGATGTGAAAACAGCTGGAGAGATCATACTTGGGAATCTTCAGTCAGGAGTCCACCAGAAAGAGCAAGATAACTTCTCTGCTTCACAAAATGTGGTTCTCCTTAAAAGTGACCAAGAAGAGGGTGCCTTCCAAGTGCATGACAGTGACCCAGCTGATGGCAATCAAAAATTAACTGAGTCTGCTTTAGATGACTTGCCATCATCGCAACTTCTGTATTTTGAAAAAATGGATGAACTTTCTTCTGCTTCTAGAACATCTGCACTCTCAAAAGGGAGGGATGAACGTGTGAATTCTTTCTCAGACAAAATCAGAGACCCATTGTCTTTTTATGCTGGTGCTGAACACAGGAACAGACCTACTGACTCTTCCTCACACTCCAAGTGTATTTTATTTAAACCTGAGAGTCTCAAAGATCACCTGAAAAGTGCTATGACTGGAAATGCCAGAGCCCAGACTCTGCAGGTCTCCAAGACCAAGCAGCTCAAAGAAGCTGTTTTATCTGAAGAGATTTTTGTGGCTAGGAAAGCTATTGAATCTTCTTCTCTTGATATAGGCCCTTTTTATGGATTACCTAGCAAGGTTAAAGATTTATTGAGACAACTTCGAGGGATTGAAACACTTTATGGTAGTGTAACCAATGGTCTGTTGGAAAAAAAAAAAAAACCTGCTAGTGGAATATTGTCTGTTTCAGCCATTATACTGTAAAAATATTTAAGGTAATGCTAACATAAACCACATTGGAAAGTAGTTCTCCTGTTTCAGGAAGTGGCTATTTTAGTGTTTTAGATGGATGGAATGGATGGATGGTATCCATCTGGATTACAGAAGTCACCATCACTGAAGGCTTTAAGTGCTTTTTTGAGAAAAAGCTCTCAAAGGCTGAGCTCAGAGTGTTCTGAATGAAACACAGGCATTTTTATATTAGCTGACATTCCCCTGGAGTTGCTGATAGTTCCATTTTAATTTTGCAGAGTGGCAGCATGATTGCTTGATGTTAGAATCCCTACAGCAAAGGAAGAACTTGATATACTCATTGCCAACCGGTGGTGGAAAAACTCTTGTAGCTGAAATAATAATTCTCCAAGAATTACTCTGCAGGCAGAAGGATGTTCTGATGATCCTGCCATATGTTGCCATTGTCCAAGAAAAGGTCTGGATACATTACTTCTGGTACTGCTTTGTTTGATATAAATCTTTCCTGATACGCTTTGTTTACTTGCTCACGTGCCTGGTTTTCAGCAAGGTTTTTATGAATATGGTGGCAAGTGAGTGGCCTCTTCTAAATGCTGCTCTGAGGGTCAGTAATTTTGCAATGGATCAGACACAAATTGAGGTGAAGATGTTGAGTTATGAAGTAAAGGGTGCTGAATTTTGAAATAATGGCTTTTTAGGATGTTTTGTTTAGTTGTGCAGCCTAACTGTGCTACTCAACTTGCTAAAGAAGTGAGATAAAAATGTATTTTGGTATAAAGGGAAAATTACT